AGCTTAGCTCGTAGCTTAGCTGCTTTTAATGATCCAAAAACATGATTTTGGACGATTAAAATTGATTTTAAAGAGAAAAGAGAAAGGGAGGGGTCAATGAAGAGCATTGGAGTTGAGCCTTTTGTCATCCAGTGTCTTCAGTAGAAAGAGAGACACACAAAGAAACGATAAAGCCGATAAATAAAAATGAGGTTGATAATTGTCATTTATCATGTGATTAATTGATTTATTGTTTATCGCAACAGGCCTAGTTGCCAGTGGTACGCGCACACGCACACACCTGTCACTTCTTGATAGGCAGACAGGGCTGCGGAGCAGGAAGTAAGTCTCAAACACAAACAAACAGCCGCTGTGCAGAAACGACAAGTCGTACCGAACATGAGAGAAGGCACTTTAGTTTCCAGACATCTTGGCTGTGCTCTTCAAATGTCACCTGTTATTTTAATGGGTTTTAACTTGTTTTATTCTGTTCAGTATCTAATTAATTTGATATTTTTAGGACTATTTGAACATAGTTATTACTTTACCTCTTTAATGAACACTCTCTGAGGCCTTTAACATGGTTTTGTTCTACATTTTTTAGAATGAATAACTTTCTTGAATCTAGAATCTTGGGGAAAAAGTTAAGCTCAATATACCGTATTTTTCGGCCTATAAGTCGTGTATTTTTTTTTTGCATAATTTACATACCCTGCGACTTATAGGCCGAAGCGATGTATTTATGAATTTTTTCCTTTTTTTTTTTTTCATTTAAAAAAAAACCCAACAACACAGTTTTCATTCATTCTGACTGAAAAAAATTGAACACTACCATTATCAGCCAGTAGATGGCACTTGAGTAATAAGGCATGCCATTGTATAATGTAATAGGTAAAAGTGGCTATTAATGACATGATCGGTTTGCCATAGCCTGCCACCGTCGTCTGCCTGGAGCAACCGAATCAGCTTCATTTCGCTGTGCCGCCACGGGTAAATGCGGCTGTTTTGACCGTCAAAGTGCATTTATTAAGTAAAAGTTGGACTGAGACACACATTTACTATAATTTCGAGCAAACAAATAATTGTTTTTAAATGTTAATCTTGTTAAATTCTTGTTAAAGTCCTCCCGTGCACGCTCCCGCAGCCGCCATTTGGCAGCCAGTCGATTTTTGGCACAACACCAGCCCACATTTCCGGATTGTCAGCGGTGACGCGTAACAAACGCGACGTGTCAGCTGTGACGCATAATAGATGCGACGTATATGGCGAAGCGACATATTTATGGATTTTTCCACTTTATTAGACATATTTGGCCTGTTGCAACTTATAGGGCGGTGCAACGTGTATGGCGGAAAACACGGTACTGTAAATGAGAGTTTGGGTGTGTACTCTGATCTCTGAGGTGACTTAAAAGAAAGCTACAAGCAGTGGGAGACACTTGAGTGAAAAAAATTCTGTTCAGTTCAGTTTATTTACAGTATATAGAACCAAATCCCAACCGAAGTTGTCTCAGGGCACAGTACAAGAACATTCACACACATACAAAAGCCAATTAGTAACGTTCTCTATCTAAGGAATTCAGCAGATGCATTGAATCTTCACTCTGTCACAGTCTCCCATCCTGAGCAAACACAAAAGCAACAGTGGAAAGGAAAAACTCACTTTTAACAGGAAGAAACCTCCAGCAGAACCAGACTCAGGACATGCGGCCATCTGCTTTGACCAGCTGGGTTTGAGAGGAACAAGAAGGAGAGACAAACGAACACTAAAAGAAAAAAAAAAGAAAAACCACAAAAATATGTTACATCCGGTGCGTTTCCAAATACGTTTGAATGTATAAACTGTACAGTAACTGTAAGGATTGAAGCAAAAAATAACTTGTTTGTAAGCATTTTGGGAAGTTTAGGCAGCTGAAAACTTTAAGTTGAACATTCTTTGATTAAAATATCCAGAAATCATCAGACTTGAACTATCAATGATCTCAAAACGCCAGTTCAAACATGTGACGTCCAACTTTATGTGACCCATTTCATCGTTTTCTGCTTTAAAGAAATCTGAGCAGTGGATTTCCAACGACACCTGGGCTTTCTCACTCGTTTCACCAAAATCCTATCGATGTCTATGGACGAAATGTCCAACTCTGCATTTGGAGTACCGACACAAAAACTGACAGATAATGCGTGACAGTAGAAGAATGAACCAACAGACGTGTTTCAATGCGTATTCTATAATCCCTGCTTTAAAAAACACATAGTCATTAATTTTTTTCCCTAAAAATATAAAAACCTACATCATACTGTCGAAGAATTGATCAATCAGATCTCATGGTAAATCAAAACCTGTCAGCTCTGACAGATAGATTTTTATTCTTTGTTCAAATGACTCCAACATAT